ACGAACAGCAAGCTGGTTAATTCGCGCTTGCTTAAAATTTAACTTAAATTAATAAACTTTTTTGATTTTTATGTCAGTTTTAATTAATGTAGATCATTTATTGTGTTCGAGAACTTCACTGCTAATCTAATTGTGCTCGTCAGACTAGTCGTTATCTAATTTCACTGAATCTTTATTTTGGTTTCATGAAATAGCTCAATAGTGAATTTATCGTGGGCCTCTTGGTGCTATTCGTACTTGGCCTGGCCTCTTGGAAGTCTTCTTTTGCGCCTTTTCATTCTGGCAATTATAAAGCCCTAGTGTTCTTGAGATCTCGCGGGTAAAAGCAATTGACTTGATACGTCGGCCAACCCTTCTTGATCGGATGTTGCTAAGACTCCAAACACACTTCCAAGTTCTGAAAAGGTCGGATACGTGCGTAGCCAAACAAAAAGCATCAATATCCGGTCACGAGTTGTCAAAGCAAGCGGCCTTGTTTGAATCTCTCCGATCTTGGGTTTCGGGAATTGCAGATAAATCTTTCAGCATCAACTGAGATTCTCTGAACAACTCTTGTAAGGCTTGATGGTGTTTCGCCTGTCAATTCCCACATCTGAACTGGGTTTCAGTAGTGTATAGGTGTGCAGTTTTGTCACATAATTTGCATAAAAAAAGGAAATGACATCACCAGACCGGAAATGAGAAAAAACCAGACCAGACAATAAACCAGACAGTGTTAGGTTACATCAATGATTTTATTTCGCAAAAAAACTAATACATTGTTTCTATTGTTTCTTTAGAGCAAAATAATTACAAAAGATGAGATCAGCATGATCGTATTCAGGACATTCTTTTTCAAAGCCATGACACTCACATTCACACCTACGACACAAGCATTCGCATTGAAAGTTATTACGAACGATATATTTCTTAAGAGCTTCATCACGACTTCGCTTGAGCATTTCTTCTCTTTCTGCCTTATCCTTTATGGCTTGTTCGTTTTCCAACTTGCGAAGAGTAGTAGTTGCCACTTGTTGCTTCCAGGCAGCATACCCATCGTCCATGCTGGGGGAAGAGATATGGGCTGATATACTATCAATGTGCTGTTTGTTTTCATCCACCATGGCATAGGTGTAAGTGTTCCACTCCATCAGATAGGATTTGCGACACAGAATGCCGTGTGGTGTTTTGCGGGTTTTGCCAACACCACGTTTTATGTCCTGTGCAGCTTTCCTTCTTCCTTCATTAGTATCAGGGTATCGGAGTCCTGTTTTTGAGTTAAGGTAGTAGGTGGCAGTCAACGGATTAGGGGGTGTAAAGGGTGATTTAGTAACTAGGGGTTCTTTTTCTTGGGGTCTGACATCGGCGTAAGTGATTCCATCGTTGCCTTCAAATGTGTCAAGCTCGCCATTGTCTAACGCATTAAGGAAACATTGGTGATCGCTTTTCTAAAAAAAAGAAAAAAATTAGTACTCTCGAGAGGATTTGAACCTCCATCTCACACCCGCTTGGGTATGTATCATACCATTAGACCACAAGGGTATTACATGTAAAGAAACGTAAAAGAAAAAGGGATTTACTGATAACATGGCGTCCACTGCGCAGGCGCATGGTGGAAGATGGGCAGGCACGACAGGAAGACCACCAAGGAGCCATTCTACAGTTACACTTGTTACAGAAAGGTTGAGGCATGATAGGGATGGATATGTTTAGAGGTCTCATGCGATAATCAATGTTTTCAAACGTTCCTCCACGTTTACTTTTAAGGTAATATGTGGATGTGTGTGTTAGGATTAGATCAGGTATGATGATGTCTTTGATCTGATGGTTAATGAGGGTTGTTATCCAATCAACAAACTCTGTATCGTTTGTTTGTCTCATGTAATCGTCAAATAGGGTTAGCACGTTGCTAACTCTTAGGCCAATACAAAAACACCACCTTTTTAATAGCAGGGGAAAATTTCCAATGTCAATGTCGAATAAGTTTGCGTACAAACACTGTTTTTCCTGATTTGGAAGGGCCTGAAATCCAAATGTTGGAGGGATGTTCCCAACGGGGTTGTACTTCTTGCACCTGCGCTTGGTTCATGATTGCCGCAGCAACTGAATGTAATCCTCTATACTTTGCAATTTATTTCCACCGCTTTGATGTGATACTATTTTGCGTCGTGCTTTCACTGCCGATTTGCGAGATTTGCGTTTGCGTTTGCGAATAAGTATTCCATCCTTCATGGTGGCAGGACCCACGTCATCATCATCATCGCCGTTATCATCACTAGGGGGGTACGTTACGCTATTGTGTTCCCTTTGAACTATGGGTCTTTTTCCTCGTCGGACCGTGGTGACGGTGGTTGTGTTGGCAATAGTTTGGTGATCCCCAGGACCCATTCGCGTCCGGATAGCACGTGCCGTTGTATCTTGGTCAGCATTTGTGTGATGAGGAGGTCCAAAATTACCACTATCATCACCACCTGAATCACCACTATAGGAACCATTTCCGCTACCATTTCCATTACCGTTCCCATCACCACCTGAAGGCGATGGAGATGGTGATAAATCATCGTAACGTGGTGATTTTCCTTTTTTAGAAGTGCTGGGGTGCCCTTGTTGTTGCAAAAGGTCAAGGCGTTCCTTTACTTTTTCAATGGCCACAGCAATGCGTGCGAGAGGCTTCTAAGTAATACTGTCGGTCAATGGATTGAAGTTCAGCCAAGTACTGAATAAGTTGGGGTTCAGTTAAGTCATTTATTTTCTTGTAGGGTTTCCAAATCATACGTCTTTGCACTTCACGTATAACTTCATTGATGTCATTTACTAAAGGTGCATCACTACGGTTTTTCTTTCGCAGACCTACCAACACGTCTAAGTACTCCTTTAGTTCTTGCTGCGACATTTGACCTAAGGTTGTGCTGGATAAGAATTGAATTTCCACTCCTAAACTGGGGTCCACTGTTCAATGTCCTGTATGGTTGTACCATTTGCTTGTGCTGACGACAGAGGTGGTGATGGTTGTGGTGGTGCAGGTGGTGATGGTTGTGGTGCAGCAGCAGGTGGTGATGGTGTCGCAGCAGCAGGAGGTGATGGTGTTGTGAGCTCAAGGTTAGCCTCTTGCAGTGCTTGTGTAAAGGTGTCAGGTAAGGAATAGGGTATACCAAGCAGTTGTAGCATTTCATCATCATCCTCGTTGCTAATGCGAATGGGGGTGCTTTCGGCTAGTGGTGATAGCCCCCCTGCAAAGGGTGGTGTTTCCATTTCCTCTAATGTTCGGCTAATGGCTCGATCGGCTATAGATTGAATAGGAGTGGGTTGGCGGATACCGGGGGCTTGAAACAAAGGACTGCGCTCCTCGTGCCCCAGCAAACGATATAAATCACGCTCCCTGTCTTGGTCCGTCATACAGGCATTATGTCGACAATCGCAGAGCAACGCAAATTTATACGCAACCTTGCAAAGTGTCACCCCAGCCAGGTGGTTCCTTTATTGAAAGGGGGGAAAATCATCACTGGGAGGCGCTGCAACAAACCATAGGCAAATTTGCTAGTGGAGACATTAGTTCGGAAGGGGTTCGCTTACCAGCCGCCACAAAACGGTGGTTCAAAGGGGTGGCCAAAGGGAAGCATGCCAGCGTTAACAATTTACGACGCTCCGTGTTACAACGCAGGGGGTCCAAAGCTGAATTGTTTGGAGCCGCCCTTAAAGCCGTGGCAAAAGCGGCCGCCCCACACTTAAAGAAAACCGCCATAACCTTGCGGAAGCAGGCCGCCTCTACGGCTATAAGTACGGGTGTCGAAAAAGTTAGCAGCAAACTGAAGTCAAAACCTTCACCTGCCCCGAAAGAAAAGGATCCTGTCAACGATCAGGAAATTAACGACATTCTAAAGGAATATGCCTAAACAAAAAGGAGGTAGACGACGACGACGATGAGTTAAGCACAGCAGCCAATTGGGAGCCGGCATTCGTGGACGTCTTGGACCTAGCATTCCTGATTACGGACCTATCATTCACCCTTTTCACATCAAATACTCTCAACCTGCAAGCACTGTCAACAAACTGCCACAACCAGTTCGCACGTTGCGTAAACAAACAGCAACTCAACTTACTCACTTACCTTCGACATCAGACACCGTCAGTGTGGTAATAAAAGGACGTCCTGTTACCTTATTCCCCAAAGCACGTCGTGTAGCTCCAACGACACGATAACTATGGCTCCACCACCTGTCAATGCAGCTGCAACCCACAAAGGCTACTTGGTACCAGGTATTTTGTGGGATCGCTTAAATCACACACTGGAAAAACAAACTGAAGAACTTAAGAAACTGAGACAACCCCAACAACAGGAAGGAGGCGGTGTAGGGGCTGTGGATGCTAACGGCAACGTCAAGACCGATGCCCTTCTTCACACTCTGGCTGTTAATTTGTCTCTTCAACAACATCCTAACCTGGAATTTGTGAAACATGCGGATCAGCTAATGAAACAGGTTCTTATCGATCCTTCCTTGTCAGCCAGTGAGCGAGTGCGGTACCTAAACAATTATGCACGTGCCTACTATGAACAACGACGTGCACGAGATGATGCACCAACTCCTGCGCCTGCACCTGTTCCAGCGCCCACGCCAGGTCCAGCTCCAACACCCGCACCAGGTCCTTCAGGCACCCCTAAAAGATCTCTCATTCCTGTTCCTAAACGATTACCTACAGCACCATTTACATCACCTGTCAAAACCACAACAACCAAGAAAAAAGGAAAAGGAAAAGGAAAAGGACCACTTACACCCGAGCAACAAAACGCAAAATCAATGATAAACGACATGAAAAAAGCCTTAAACAACGTCAAGGCTGACACTAAGCTAACCCCTGAACAAAGGGAGCACAAAATTGGAGTTATAACACGTGGTCAACAAGCTATCATCAAGTTACACAACAATTTGGACTTTGACTCTGACTAGAAAAAATGCATAAAAAGGAGCCATCATGGACCATCGTTATTTTCTCGCGCACACTCTCACGAGCTTCACATCATCATGTTAGGCGGACGCGCTGCTGCACCACCATCAAAGCTTGCCAAAACAGATCTCGCTGCTCCCATCCCTAAAGCGCAAAAGGGAACTATTAGAGACCTTTTCTCTCAGGTGCCTGAGGATTCTACCATTGAACAATCCAAATGGGAAACCTACTATCAGCAATCTACGAGCACCAACCCCCTCACCATCATGGTGTCGCGCACGCGTGAGTGGGTGGACATGAGAAAAACCATTTTGGAATTTGATGTTCAATTCAAGAAAAACGATGGTACGCTGTTGGACAATAACAGTAAAGCCTTCCCCATTAATAACATTGGGCACTCACTCATCAAACAAATCAAAGTCAGTATTAACAAAGGCAGCATTCAGCCCAATGACGACAAGTACCACTATCAAGCCTACCTGGACCAATTGCTTAACTTTTCCAAAGCTGATAAAGAAGGATGGATGTCCATGGAAGGATGGTCCACCGATACCCCTGGAAAATTTGACGACACCAACCCCCTTCCAAGAACCATTACAGATGCTACCAACTCTGGTACAGCTAATACATACACTCAAGCCGCTTTAAACACCTGGCTTGGCAATGCCTTAGCACGGGTAACCCCCAATGAAGGAGCTGTGTTTCGTCACAAGTTGTGTGCTGATGGTAAAACCGTCAAGTTTTTCATTTCCCCCTGCATCCACATGTTTCGCAGTTATCGTTACCTTCCCCCTGGTTGTGAAGTAACATTTGAAACCATGTGGAACCCTTGCAACCTGGTCATGATGGCAGCTCAAGCAGACAACGCTGCAGCCACAGCCCCCACCTTCACCATAGTTCCCAATACTTGAGTTTCGTATTCTCGGTACAAGACTCAGCGCCAGTCTCCTGCTCGGTCACTTGAGCACTGAAACGAGACTAATACAGCAATACATTTCCCTGTGTTTACAGTTTCCACGTGTGTGACATGTCTTCAAACGATCGTTTTTCTACTTTAAATCAGTTTAAATCTATCCAAGACCTTAGAAATCTGAAAGTTAATGAGTTAAAGACTATTCTCAAGAATTTCGGTGAGCCGATYGGYGGAAAAAAGGAAGATTTAGCTCTTCGTTGCTTTGTTCTTGTTGAACGATCTAAAGGGTCCAAATCCCCCAACACTTCACCTGGCGAAGCTCTTGCACCACCTGTTACTAGTAATACGACGGACTTAACATACGAGATTATTATAAGAGAAGCAACTGGTTTGATATGGAAGAAAGATCTACGAGAATTACCGACATTTTCCTTCGTACAGCTCTATGATTATCTTGTGAAAAAGACGTCTAAGTACAGCGAGCTTGACGTGTGTACTGGAGGCTACAAGCAGCTAAGAGCATTCCAATTCTTTAAAGAAGGACATATTAAAGATTTACAACTATGCAACAAAGGCAGCCTTGTTTATTTAAAATCAGAGGTTCTTGCTTCAATGAAATCTGAAAAGTATAAGTCAATACTAGTGTTTGACAAGACAGGAAATGACATTGTAAGAGCTGCGTGCAAGTGTACTGACGGGTAAGTTTCAAATATTTGAAATTAGACTAAACGTTTTTCCACAATACCTCTATCACACCAATTTATATAATTGATAATGTCTCCCAAGCAACATAGATACATAAGACCTGGCATCTTCACAACTAAATTAACCTTCGTGTACAAAACAAACTATGACATTATTAGATTTTTTTTCTAGGTTTACAATAATTCCTTTTTGGCATTTTAATACTTTTTATTTTACAACTTAATATTTGTATACAGGTGTAAAAATTTAATAATTTAATTTTTAATCTAAATCTTTGAAAGTCGATAAATTACACTACTAAAATTACTAACTAAATAAGTGTGCCTATTATTCAAGTATTGTAAGATGTTTTTTTTT